AACCCTAACTGAGAGAGGAAAAGAGCAGAGATCAATTGTAAACAGGGTCACCCTCAAGCCTGCTGCTCATAAGGACTTGTGATTCAAAGGGTCTACAGTCTCTCCAAAGAGCACCACCAGCTGAGGCTAGGTCATCACCCATTTATCATCAAAATAGCCAACCAAATCTTGCCCCTTAATAACCAGATCTTTCTTCTATTGAGCCTACTATAGGAAGTCTCAAATGATAATTAGGCTTTGGACACTCTCACTCATGTGGTCTGCTGGGCTATAGGACCACACTCTATATAGTCACTCTAGGACTCCAAATTGCCACTTCCCTGTGCACAAAGTTGTAGTAGGATATTTCCCCCACGACATTTTACAATAAAGCTCGGTAATTTGGGAGAAACTAATGTGGGAGGAGATGAAGAATGGAGAAGAGGAGAGATGTAGCAGCCATGGAGAACTATGGATGGGTCTACAACAGTCCTGGGTAATTGAGCATTTTTAAACATATAAAGCCATTGGATAATCTTTAAGCATTAGAGTCTTCATTCTACCAGGATCTGTGGGCATGGTGGGTATTGTCTGGGTTTTAGTCGAACATTGTAGACAGTGTGGTGGATTTATAGATCCGGCCACCACGCTGGCATCTCGTGAGTGCAAGAGCCAGTGCTTCTGGCCAGCCTGAACCACCACAGAGCCAAGAGCGGTTGGCCTCAGGCCTTGTCTAGTCGGGAACATGGCAGCCCCATAAGAAAAAGCCAGATAGGGTGCCGCCATTTTAACTATTATCCACAACACAAAGTCATCTTATTCAGTATGAGCCATTATATTGAGTTCTTCCATTAAAAGGCTAAGAACCTGGAAACAGCATCCTACACTCCAACCACTCTTCTGAGAAAGCTATTTAAGGGGTGACTAGGACCACTGACAACATTTTCATTCCCTTCTAACTTCAACCTTTAAGGGAAACTTGAGAACTGCTTTCCACATTTTTGCTCAAGAGCCAAGATAAAACTTCTGAGAATCCTTCTTAATCTACCTTGAGGAAGTATCTACAACCATCACTGAAGAAACTTATTTAACTGTTTAGCATGACCTGGATGGGAATCTGTTTTTAAAAATTCGGATCCTTGAGCCCTGCTACAAACATCATGTCAACAGGATCCTTGGGTAAGCCCTAGGTAGTACCTGAAAGATGATATCTTTGAGAGGTTTGCATGCCAGCCAGGCTACTTACCACCCCACTCTCAAGCAAAGTTTCTAAACAAGGAGCAACACCCGCTTAATAAGTAGTTGTGAGAATTATAGCTGCAAATTTTGTAAACAAATACTCAGTTATTAATAGTTTTTCTGGTGTTATTTAGCACCATCTACAGCAGCTCACTAGACTTCACAGTGTTGCAGCAGCAGCAGCTCAGAGGGGTTGTGTCCAAAGCCATCTGTAGGTAGTGATGTAGGGGAAGGACCCTACATTTTGCAGTGACAACTCTAAATACTTACTATATTGTCCATTTTACAAAATATTAAACGCCCGTTGTCTGTTTGCTTTCATATCATTCATCGCACATGATTTTATGAGGAGCCACCTACTCTATACCTGTATACCATCGGTACAGTGACTTGCTGGAGGGAGTAAGGGCCAGACTTCCTGCTGAGTCGCTCTGAGTCCCCAGGCCTCTTCCTTAATCTCAGTCTTAACTTTCCATCTGTCACTGGTTCCCCTGCATCAGAAGCACAGCCAGCCAGTCCTCTAAGCTCTCCAGGGCACTATGCTCGGGAGGCCCAGAGAGCTGGCTGGGGCGGAGCTCACAGGGAGGCTGATGCCTGCCAAGCTGCAGTCGGGACTCAGCGGCTGGGGCCTGGCCGCCGCGGAGGGGCGCGCCTGGCTGGCGCGGATCTGCCCGCACGTGAACTCCACCTCCTTGCTGGCTGGGCGCCGAGCAGTCAAGCTGCCGGTCTCCACCCCTCTCCAGCGCCGCCTCAGCTCTTGGCATAGTAATCTCAGTTCCTGATCGCACAGGGCTGGCTCCTGGCTGCAGCGGACCGCGCGAGTCCGCCAGCAGCAGCGGCGTGGCGGAACCAGGGCTGGGAAGCGACTGGAAGCCCAGCAACGCGCAGACAACGGCCCAGCGGGGGACACCCCTCCGGAGCAGGTAAGCAAGCTGTAGCGGGAAAGGAACCGCCCCCGCGGCCACCTGGCCCAGTGGCCAACCTTGGAGACAGGAGCCTGGCAATGTGCCTGTGGTGGTGAAGGAGGAATTAGGTCCCACATTTTGTTCATGGATCCTTTGCCTGTTGCTTATGTCCCCGGCCCATTCTGCCATCCTGCTTCCCAGGAGGGGCTGTGGTCCCCGCAGGTGATGTATATCTCTACAAGGTTATTACTCCCTTAAGCTCTGACCCAAAGGTAAAAAAGAGAAGCCGTTTGCTGCTTCTGAGCTTGGAATCCTAATCGGTATGATATGCACACATCGAATATTCAAAGAGATGTTTGTGTGTATTTATGTCTGTGTATGCTTTTATATTATTTTCCTATGATTATTTGCTGTAAGGTAAGAACTCACTCGTGTACATTATGCTCGTTTATATGCGCGTATGTGTATGTATTTATTGATACATTTGCATATATATTTCTTCTTGAGGTCAGAAGGGAGAGACAAGGAAGGTCGGACTGAGGCTGATAAAAGGAAGTCATTGTAGAGCATGTTCAGTGTGTAGAGGTGAACTTTGGAACCACATTAAATCAAGGTAGCGACTAGAGATGATAAACCCTTCTCTGGGTATATTATAGCGAAGGCCTGAGGTGTTCATGAGTACACAGCAAATCTTCTTGCTTCCCAGATAGATGGAAAAGACAGGCAAGATTTTAGACGGTGGACAAAAGGGGAGGACAGAGAGGAGACTTAGGCACTGGAAAGTAGATTAGGGTAGAGAGAAGGCAGCCTAGGCACAGCAGAGTTCAAGGGCTTTTGAAAGGGTGTTGAGGGACGTCACTGGTTGCATGTAGGCAGGTCAAGGTTGGGATGATGGGAGAGCAGCTAGGGTGGGGGGAAAGGCAAAAGCCTCAAGGGGGAGGGAAAGAACTGAGCTTTAGCTAGCCATCCAGCTTCAAGCCACCTTTGTGAAGGTGTTTTCTTCCTTCCGTTTTCACAACACATTTGTTCAAGATCCATAGGTCCATGTTTTCATTTTATTTTTTCATGGAATCTGGGTCATGACAGAACTGGAAGAAACTGAAGTGTTTACACCACCAGAAAGATTTGGAGAGAGTGTGATTAAGGCTTAGCTTCATGAAATATTTACACAGCTCTTGCGTGGGCTTTTGTTTGCTCTTGTTGGCGCTTCTGCATATTTTATCTTGATAATGCTTTGAGCATACTTCTCCTGAATGAGCCTATTTTCCAGTTACAAACTATTCTTCTCTTCCCATGGTGTTCATCATCAGCCTGCCCTGAGTAACAGTGGTGGGAATAAAGATACATGAGTCACAGGGCAAAGAAGAAAGTCTTCTCTATTGCTCTCCTCCAATGGCCAGAGTAGAGAATGTTTTTTGACAAAAGAGTCGCAGAGAATGTGTTCGGTTTCTGTCAAGTTTGTGTACCCTGTGCATGTGTTTAGTGGAGGGACTGTATTAACAGGAAAACAAGGTAGTAATCACCACTGTTATCGCCAGTCTAGATGTTCAGTTATTAAAAGGAGTTTCAGAAACAGGCCAGGAACTCAACGAGACAGCCTTGTCCGCTGTGATGTGCCAAGGCATCACCTAATCACCACGTACTGGTGTGGACATGACATGGCGCAGCATGACACCCTCACAGGGTTGAGAGTTGAGATACCAGCTGAGTCAGGTCAACTGTGGTTGGTGAGGAAGTGAGCTTCCAGCAGGATGCACTAAAATTTCAGTGTTTTTGTTGCCTCAAAAGAATTTCCCAGCATAATTATTTGTTCCTGCAAATTTTTCTTGATCATCCCTGAAATATACTAGAAAAGATGTATTTAGACAGAGCTATCCTTCATTGTTAGTGTTTTGTCACAAATCTACACTGTACAGAGAAGCCTTTAACTACCAGGGATGGAATCACAGAATGGCACAATACTGGCTTCAGAAACAGAGGGCACACTTTGATTCACAGTTGCACTGGGGCTCTCCATGGCTGGTGTTTCTCTCCTGTATGCACTCCTTCATTCAACCAGTCAACATATATTTCAGTGAGCAAGGTGTGACCTTCAGATGTGAAATACAAGACTAAATAAGACACGATCCAAGCTTACAACATGTAATGAAGAGACAGATGGTGATAGCCATGGTGCTGTGGGAAGGAGCTTCAGAAGCCAGGCTGAGGAGAGCACAAGGCAAGTTTTCCAGGAACCAGGACAATGAGAGCTGCTGAGGGGCCCAGGAAGGCAATCCTGTGAGTACATAAAGGTAGAAGATGGGGAGAGAGAAGCAAGCAGTCTATCCCCTAGCTCAGTTCAGAAGAGCTTCTACCTCAGCTTTCAGGAAGACCTTCTGTTTCCAGACAATGAATCCATTCACACTGAGGCTGTTCTAGAGTGATTGTGCTTACCCACACTATATCCTCCAAAGATCTACAAATGATAGTTAGCTCAATTTGCAATTGTCTGCTCAGAGGAGAGAAAGGCCTTTGAGTAAGTCATGACTTCCTGTGCCTCAGCTGCTTTGTCCCCAGTGTCCATTGCTACACGGCATGCTGTGAAGTAACTGGGGGAGGAAAGATTGAGTTTATAGAAATGACTTTGAGAAATTCTGGAAACCTTTTCTGGTTTCATTTTTAACCTGTATTTCTTACCTCTTTACTCATTTGCTTTGAGACATGGTCTCCCTCTGTGGCAAAGGCTTCCCTTAAACTCACAATCCCCCTGCCTCAGCCTCTCAATTTCAGTGAATATAAGGTACTCACTATCAAATCCAACTTCCCAATCTTATTTTTAGGATAACAAAAATCAGGGATATAGTATGGATACTAGTGATTACATAAAGTATTTAAACATCTCAAGTGACTCCAAAAGGCAAATGTCATCAAGAAATAACAATTATCTCTGGGAAATGGGCCAAAGAGAGCAAAAAAGACACATGAAAGTTTTCAATCACTTTTAAGTAAAAGAAATAGTTTTATCAACCCCATAGTCATCAGGAAGTGACCTTCTAGACTTGGGTATTTCAAATTTCAGGTACCAAATGACCATGGAATCACCCACAATGTAATCACATTTAGTGAATGTGATCAGTATTTTGATTGTTGAATATACCAGGGAGCAAGATAACATACAAGAGTAAATGCTACTCAGGGGACTTTTAAATGGTATGTTTGCAAGTATGTACATGATGAACCATGGTGTAAGTATGTACCTCCTGTTGTGAGTAGTATGGGTGTTACTGCTTTAAGTGATAGAGAGGCTTCCAGTTTGCAAGACACAGCAGTTGAAGTAAGAGATCCACACATAGGCTTCTACACACTCTGCTGAGCAACCGAGCTGTATCACACTGAAACAGCCACCCCCAGAACTGACCAAATATGTCAGAAATCCAGAGGGCATGGATTCCTCAGTGTGGAATTCATCTGAGAAACTTCAGCAAGGAAATGGAGATTGTGTTCCTTTGTGAACGGTGGTTGGATTGAGTGGGTGGTGAGACAAGGGTGGTAAGTAAACATGTAGAAAATAGGTATTTACTACAGAGAAACCATCCACTCATGAATCAGGCCCCAGATGCCCACTTCTCATTCTCTACTCTCCACTCCCCAAGCTGCCCTGCCTGGCAACAGCAACACTCACTAATGTAGCAAAACTCTGGAATACTTCATGCTGCTACTGATGGCAGCCTTTATGTGGTGCCCAGGATCTTTAAACTTGTTCTTCCTACAGGTCTTAGGTCTTCTGTTGTATGTCGTTTGCCCTACAGCTTCCCATTCCTCCTCTTCTCCCTACAGTTGCTGTCTTATTCTCTTTCTCTGCATACAGAGCCCTTTATGTTGTTCATTATTTTACCTCTAAAATTTATTTTCTTAATACTTCTACTTGAAGAAAATCTAGTGAGAATGGCCATGACAGCGTGAATCTGTCCTGTCCTGACATTTTATTTTTCTTGCTGCCATCATTTCCTGATTGGACCTGGACTCAGTTGAATATGATAACTGAACTACTGACTATTGACAAGATGTGCCACAGTGTAGCATGACTCACTTCTCAGAACACAGATCCAATCACTGGAACAGAGGGACAAGGGGTAGTCAGGTGATTGTCACAAGTTCAAAAAGCAAGCAGAATCCCAGGCCAGGCACCATCACTTAGCAGCCATAAGCACCAAATGGAAGCATAGCATAGGCCATATTTTCTTTCCTTTAGTTGTTTTGAGTTTTCACTGTCATTTTAGTGTAAGGTTTAAATATGTTTGTGTGAACTTCTCGGTTTGGCAAAATGGCTCAAAGGATGATAGCCTTTGATCTAATCCTAATGATCTGAGTTTTATTCCACAAGCTAGAAGGAGGGAACCTCCAGGGAGTGCACCCTGCCTCCCACACATCCTCAGCCAGTCAATCAATCAATCAATCAATGAATTGCAATAAAGATTAAAAATTTAAAAGGCAATTAGCATCTACGTGTTCTACTGTAGGTGGCCTACTGCTTATCTTGGGGAGAAAAGTGAGAGCAGAAAGATTTTGAGCCTCTGAAAACCCTTCGACTTTCTCCAAACTCTTGATGTCTCTGCTCTGGAAGAAAGCCACACTGTGTGGTATTGTGCCGTTCTGAATGACGCTATGCCTTTATTCAGAACAACAGTGCCAGGACACAGACTCAGCAGCATGAATTCCTTGATTTGGAGTCAAATATAAGAACTTACGTGTTTTCCTGTTCCATCCTGGCCAGCATGGTTCATCCTTCTTTCCTATAGGAGAGTATATAGATTAGTAGTAATCTGGTGGTTAATCATTCAAGTCAAGTTTAGGATGATAATACTGAAGGCATTGACTTGAAAAGGCATTCTTTAAAAAAAAAAAAAGGCATTCTTGAATTCCATGAGGAAATGTATATATAATCTTACAGTTTAAATGACTTAGTGTGCTGAATCACAACTTTTTCACTGGGCATATGTTGGAGTTAGCAACACAGTGATAGCACTCCAGTGTTTAAG